CTTTGTAACTTTAGAGCATTTTGTACATCTTTTAAGTCATATTAATTTGGTTTATATGATTAATCAGCCAGATTATAAGTCCTTTAGAAAAGAGTGGAACATAGTCAACTTTGTTCTTCAAATGTTTACATGGCATGAATTTTGCAGAAGTGATGGCTAGAGACTAAAATCCAAGAATTCTTGTGCTAACTGGTTTAGTGTCATGTTTATTATATCATCCTGAACCGTGTTTGGGTAATGTCTTGGCTTGAGTAGTTGCTGGGGAGAAGGGACTATATTCGAGGCTGGGGAGCATGACCTGAGTGAAATCATGGGGTTGGAGTCGGACACAGGCTAATTAAAGTTGTAAGAGACACTGGCCTGACCACAGCAGAGTTTTTGTTGAGGAGCAATGACAGAAAAGGTTGCATGGCTTAGGTGATACAGATCGTGAAGAACTTTTTAATAGTAAATTTTTTAAAATGGTAAACAGTATGTGAAAAGAATTAAAATAACACAGTATGTGGCCATTCAGTATTTGTTAAATGAACGACAGATAAGTGTGAATCTTCTTCAGTAACTCATAATTTTATCAATTTCTTGTGTATCCTCCAATAAGTTCTGTGTTCATACAAGCATTGTACTGCCCCAGATAAGCGGACACTAAACACCGTGTAGTTGTTGCATGAGTCATTTAACCATTTCCTTATTGGAAAAATTTAGGTTGTTTGTGGTCTTTTGCTGTAACAAGTGGTCTTGGAGTGATATTGATATCATGTGCCTTTACATTTAAAATGTTTTTAAATAAAGTTATACATGTACATAGTTGACAGAGTCAACAGGACAGACTATTAATGAAAACATTCTTTGATTCATCCTTCATCACCTCTGAGTTCTATGCATCAGAAACATCTTTTGTCTTTTTTTTAGTTTTACAAACGTATACCTCTACATTTCCAAATATGTTTATATTGCTATTTCTTGGGTTTTTTTTTCTTCCCATTTTAGACGTTATTAACTTCTTAACTACTCTCAAAGATGAATTTTCTTACTCCTGTTAATTTTGACAGTGAAAGTTGAGTGGATATAGAATTCAAAGTAAAAATAATTTTCAATAATTATTTTGAAGGCGTCATTCCACAGTTCTGTAGCATCTCTTACTACCCTTGAGAAGTCTTACGGTATCCTGTTTCCTTGTTAAAATATATATATGACATTTAATTTTATTATTTCTTAATCTCTGGAAGCTTTTAGAATCTTGTCTAGATATCTTTGGTGTTTGAAAGTTTCATTTTTGCGAGGATCTAGTGTTGCTGAAGAATAAATTCGTGGCAGTGGAATAGCTGAGTTCACGTTGGATGCATTTATATTCTTGATAGGTATCTCCTAGTTGTAATAATTTAAAAAAATTTTTTTTCTAAAGATACGTGTTCTTGCTACCGTTGTCCAGGCTGGAGCCCAGTGGCTATTCACAGGCTCGATCATGACACGGTATACCTTGAACTCCTGGGCTCAAGCAATCCTCCTGCCTCAGCCTCGTGAGTAGCTGGGATTGCAGGCCTGCACTCGGCTGAAAATGTTTTTATTCCAGTATATCTTAGCTGAGCACTAGCCATCCTCACAAAGTCTGACTTTGGCACAGATGAGTTCACCTTTTGAGCTTTTCCATTGAAATTCTTCTGAATTTGGCACTCCCTTCTCTCTCAGCTTGGCTCACACACTTTCTTCCTTGTTCCCATCCCCAGTACACACAAGTGCACATACTTCTCATTCACATTTCCATTATCTTTCCTTATCTATTAACAGCAACACAAATATATATTCTAGCTCACTAGTTAGAATAATTAGTACTACTGATCAGTTATTCCCACATATTAAATCATTACTAATAGATGATAACATCTTATTGCTAGAGTGAAGGTTACAAACTATAGCTAAAGAGTTCAGTCATCTTAGGAAGGAAATTTAAAGTTGAAAACCAGAATCAAGGCATTGAGTCAAGTATTGCCAGAGAAAGCCAGAAGACTACGGACTGCATCCTGGGGATATGCCTACATGGAGAGGTAGGAGAAGCAGCTAAGGAAATGCTGAAATAGGCAGATAAATGTGTATTAAAATATGAAAATTCGGTGGAAGGAAAGGTTTCGGGAAAGAAGATGAGATCAGTGTTATTTCCCAGAGTGGTCAGAGAGAAAGGGACCAAAAATGCTTTGGAGAACAGTTTCAGCAGAGTGGAGGGAGTTAAAGCTAGGCAGGTGAGGAGATGGGAGTAACTGGTATAGAGCACTCATTTGAGAACTTTTATCTGTTCAAGAAAGGGAAGAGATGGAGCAGCAGGTAGAATGGGAGGTATGATCAAAACCGTTTTTTTCCTGCATTGAAGGAGAGATTACCTGTTCCTGTGTAAATGCAAATGAGAGAAGAAAGGCAACTATTATGAATATATAGTGCTTTGGGAGGCAGGAAAGATATGGGAACTAGAGAGAGCAGCACATTTTAGGAAGAATGACTAAAGGAGATTGAAATTTCCTCTGAGACTCTTGGAAGGGGTATGATGACTGGTGAAAAGATAAAAATGTATTTAGGTGGTAAAAAACCTACACCATTAAGTTCCAGTAAAGTTAATGAGATGAGGAAGCATAGAGATTGTTTTGAATAGCCATCTATTCATTTGTTTGTTTATTTATGGAATATCTAACACATGACTTTGGTAGAGATAGAAAAATGAAGAGGCTGCCGAAAATGTTATGTTATGTTATGTTATGTTATGTTATGTTATGTTATGTTATGTTATTTGTTTTGAGACAGAGTCTGGCTCTGTCACCCAGGCTGGAGTGCAGGGGTGTAATCTCGGCTCACCTCAACCTGTGCCTACTGGGTTCAAGTGATTCTTGTGCCTCAACCTCCCAAGTTGCTAGGATTACAGGCGTGCACTACCATGCCTGGCTAATTTTTATATTTTTAAATTTTTATTTATTTATTTTTGAGACAGGGTCTCGCTGTGTCACTCAGGCTGGAGTGCAGTGGCTCAGTCTTGGCTCAGTGCATCCTCCAACTTCCAGGTTCAAGTGATTCTTATGCCTCAGCCTCCCAAGTTGCTGGGATTACAAGCATGCACCACCACATCTGGCTAATTTTTGTATTTTTAGTAGAGACAGGGTTTCAGCACATTGCCCAGGCCGGTCGAGTTCCTGGCCTCAAGTGATCCTCTCACCTCGGCCACCCAAAGTGTTGGGATTACAGGCATGAGCGGCAGTACCCAGTTGCTACCAAATGAATTTATAGAGAGAAGTTTATACATCTTTCTTTCTCTTTCTCTCTCCTTCCTTCCCTCCTTCCGTCTGTCTGTCTTTCTGTCTTTCTTTCTTTCCTTCTTTCCTTCTTTCCTTCTTTCTTTCTTTTCTTTCTTTTCTTTCTTTTCTTTCTTTCTTTTTATAGTGGTTATTCACAGCCTGAGTAGGCAAGGAAGAAGTAGGCTCTGGGGCCTATCTAGCATTATAGATTGGCATCCATGAGTGTCTAAGAGGTCAGCACAATTAGGTAGTGGAGAAGGCGGCTTGGAAATAGTTAACTCTGGCCTGGGCTGGATACGGAATCGGAATCCAAGGTGCTCAGAAACTGAATGGAATTTTTTCAAGGTAGAGAGCAACCTGAAGGTGGAGGTTTGGCCAGGGCGATGTAATAAAAGAAAGGAAGGATATTGTGATAGGAGGAGCTTGCCACGAAATAGAATTCAGTACACTTGATGGAGAAAAGGAGGTTAGGTTTGGTAGGTCAAATAACAAAAATTATAGGCGCAGTATGAGTGTTAAAAGAGCTCATGTTAATTGGCAGAGTCACAAGTCGTATTTTTATCAGTACTTTGTACATACTGTGATACAAAAATCAGGCATGGTGAGTTTTTAAAAAGTAATAGGTTTTGTAATGTCAGTGAGCACCATTTTCAGTATCTTGAGAATAACATTGTGGGTGTGTACTCTGTTTTTAGCAATCTTTCTGAAAAGCTCAGTTTCACTTGAATGTTCATATCTATTAAGATGTACAGTGTGATACTTTCAATCTTGCAAGAAATGTGGAGAATTGTTTTTCTTGATATGTGCTATGTGTACAGAGGTAATTTGATAATAATGGTGTAAATACCTAAAGGTTTTAGAGTTAGTATAATAAACCAAGCACAAAAAGTGCTCATCATTTAAAAGGCTTTACTTCTCTGGGTACATTACATCCACTGAGTAAAATGTCTTGGTGTATATTTATTAGTATCATTATCTTCTTAGGATTAACAAATGTAGCAGGTATTTTGATGGACAGTAGTAGGAATATTTTGTTTGCCTCTTTGCTGACTGCAGGGAACTTCATTCTGTCTGCAGACAGACTGCCAATCTGATGATTTCTGTTTACGTTTGCTTAAAGAACAATTAACTTTCTGTGAACTGAAAGAATGGCTGCATTTTTCACAATATAGCTGAAAAATGGGTGGCTACTTTACCATAGTAAGAAGCACATGTTTTTTTAAATGGGAAACCGTGGTTTCTTACAGTCAAAATGACCAGATGTCCTGGTTTGTCTGGGACAGTCCTGGTTTATTCTTATTGTCCCAGTATCCTATTCGATGATGACTCCTCTTCACTCTCAGTTTTCTCATTTGGACAATACATTATATGGTCATTCTATGTGTGGGTGACATTTTGAGGTATATGATCTACACTTCAGGGGAAGATACACCTTAGTAGTTGAAAAGAAGCAGCCAGTAGTTGGTTTTGCCTCAGGAAGTTTAGGGACACTTGAACAAAATTGTTCCTATCTCCAACTTTCTTTGGTAGTTACTATTTAAAATCAGCAGGTATGTTATGGCATAATATTTAACCAAGGAGTAACAGCCTTTCAAATATTCATCCTTAATACCTTCTGCTTTGAGAAAGTGAGAAATATGGTAGTGTTGGGCCTTGGATGAAGTATTGGGTATGAAATGTTTATTTAACAATGACTCAAGTCTTGATTGTTTTAATTTCTTCAAACAGCACTAACATTCTGAGAGAGCCTGTGTGCTTAGGAGGATGTGAGCACATCTTCTGTAGGTAAGTAATTATGGCTTGATGTATATAGTACAACTGTATTTTTTACTAGAGAACAGTCATGTAATTTTGTTGATAATAATGGTACTTGATATTTGTGTAACTTTCAAAGTCTGCAGAGTAACCTACTGTATGTTATCTTAGTTTGGTCTTTAAAACTGTGTCTTAATTTACAAATAAGAAAACCAAAGCTCGAAGAGGATGACTTGTCCAAAGTTACAAACCTTAGTAGACAGCTTTGCCAAATTTGAGGAAAGAAAATAATACTGTTTATATGATTCAAATAGGTGTTTTAAAATTTTCTAGTTAAGTTTTGAATCTAGACTCAAAATTATGAAAGTATACTTCTTATGGTTATTATATTAGTTTCCTAAGTCTGCCATAGCAAAGAACCAAAAACTGGGTGGCTTAAAAGAACAGAAACGTATTGTCTCTCTGGTTCTGTAGGCTAGGAGTCCAAGATCAAGATGATGACAGAGTTGGTTCCTTCTGTGGGCTGCGAGGGAGAATCTGCTCCATGCCTTTCCCCTAGCAATCTTTGCTGTTCCTTGACTTGGAGATGCATCACTCCGGTCTTTGCTTTCGTGTACACCTGGCATTCTTCCTTGAGTGCATGCTTCTCTCTGTGTCAAATTTCCCCTTTTTATAAGAATACCAATTATATTGGATAAAGGCTCACCCTAATGATCTCATCTTAACTTGATCATCTAGATCCCCTGTTTCCAAATTAGGTCACATTCACAGTTACTGAGGGGTGAAGACTCAAACATCTTTTGGGGGGACACGATTCAATGCATAACAGTTATTGTGAAATTATATCCATGTGACGGCCCTGGCTTATAGGTGAGAAGATTAGATTTTTATCTCATATTTCTTGTTCAGGAGAAATCAGTTGAGAGATTAAGTGTCTTAGTTTAATTGCCTATGAGACAGGGAAAATATAGTCTCCTTTGAATTAATCTTTTAATTATTTCCAGTTATGGGTATGTTACTGTCTTACATGAATAAACTGCATCCGGAAATTTGAACATATATGAAAATAACCTTGTGTATTACTTCATGGGCTAAGGTCATCTGGGAGGCAGCTATGTTTTGGGTCGCAATTTTGTTTCTGGAAAAACAGATCTGTTATATGAGGGATATCCAGCAGGAGGATGGAGTAGGAGATGGTACCTGTTGCCTACCAGATACGTCTGTTTGGGTGATGAAAGAAAAGGCATTTTAAAGTTGCTATGTTCAGAGCTGATCTCTTGATCATCCTCCTCTTCAGCCTTTTCCTGCCTGGGTAATCTTCATCACAATAAATGGTACCAGTTACTGCTAGGTTGTTTATCCCATGTCACTAAGTTCTATCAGTTCTGCTTCAAATTGTGTCCTGAATCTTGAATTTTTCCACCTTTTTTTCTGAATTTGCTACAGTTTATAGTTTGTTCCAAGCCATCATTGTATTACCTCTGCTCATACTATTGTGATAGGTTCATAACTGGTCTTCCCTTTTTGGCATCATCACTCCTTCCTCATTTTCTATGTTCTTGACAGTGATCTTTGAAAAATCTCAATAATATCTGTATCATTACCCTGCTTAAACTGTTTAGTGGCTTCCTATTGCAGTTAGAAAAAAATCCAAACTCTCCTCTCTGGTCTGCAAAACCCTGTATGGGACCTAGACCCAGTCTGCCTCTTGGACATCATTTACCTCTGGCTCACACTGTTCCAGCACTTCTCCTTTTAGTTAAGGAAATACACCAAATTCACTCCCGCCCCAGGACTTTGACACTTGCTATTTCTTCCACGTGAAATGTACTTAGGCCAGAGTTCTGTGAGGCTTACTTTTTATCAGTTATATATCAGCTGAAATGTCACCACCTCCAAAACGGATGCCCACTCCCTTTCCCCACTCTGTAGCAAGCAGATGTATTTTGTTTCAGCTGATGGATGATGGGTTTTCTCACTGTATACAATAGGTCAGTCACAAAGCTGCTAGAGCATGATGAACTCCATGACATTTTATGCAAAGTTGTTTTGTGTGTCTGGTAGGGTGTGAGATCCATACATTTAATGAGATTCTAAAGGACTCTGTGACTTAAAACAGCCAATAAAAGGTTGAGATATGAGAACATCTTTTTGTTTTGTTTTTTTTTTTTTTGAGACAGAGTCTTGCTCGGTCCCAAAGGTTGGAGTGCAGTGGTGCGATCTTGGCTCACTGCAAGCTCCGCCTCCCGGGTTCAGGCCATTCTTCTGCCTTGGCTTCCCGAGTAACTGGGACTATAGGTGCCTGCCACCACGCCCGGCAAATTTTTCTGTTTTTAGTAGAGACAGGGTTTCACCGTGTTAGTCAGGATGATCTCGATCTCCTGACCTTGTGATCTGCCCGCCTCAGCCTCCCAAAGTGCTGGGATTACAGGCATGAGCCACCACACGCCTGGCCAAGAACATCTTAAAAGAGAAGATGATTATGTGTATATGACATGAACATAGAAAAGAATTCATTCAGTGCAGTTTTGATTTATGATTATATAATGCCAAAAATTATGGTAGCTGTTTTTACTCTTGCAGATTTTGAGTTAAAACTGCTCAGCAATGAGGTTTTAAAATGATTTTGACGTAGCTCAGTTCAGCTGATAAAAGTAGTTCATCTACTCTCTCAGATACAATTTACGTGGCAGGGGTGCTTAAACATTTTGGTCTCAGACTACTTTGCATTCTTCAGAATTGAGAACCATAGAGAGCTTTTGTGTGTGCATGCATTTACCATACAAAACTGAGACTTTAAAAAAAGAATTCATTTAAAAATAATAAACCCATTACATACAAACACAAATAACACTTTTTAAGGAAAAATAACAATTTTACAAGTCAAAGAAAAAAATAGGAGTGGCACTGTTTTACATTTGTGCAAATCTCTGTCTTGCTGAATAGAACAGCTACATTCTCAGCTTATATATTCAGTCTATTGTTATATGTTTTTTTGATTGAAGAAAATCTGGCCTTATACATAATTGTAGTTGGAAGAAGTATTGAAGTATTTTCAGTAGCTTTTTTAGATAATTGTGGCTATTCTTCTTTAATACTACACCAAAACTTGACAAGGTTTTTTTTTTTTAATTTGTGAAGACACTCACTCTGTCACCCAGGCTGGAGCGCAGTAGTGCGATCTTGGCTCACTGCAGCCTCAACTCCCTGGGCTCAGGTGATCATCCAATCTCACTTTCTGAGTAGCTGAGACTGCAGTTGTGCCTCACCAAACCTGGCTAATTTTTGTAGTTTTTTTGTAGAGGCAAGGTTTTGCCATGTTGCCCAGGATGCTCTTGATCTCCTGGGCTCAAGCGATTCTCCTGTCTCGGCCTCCCAAAGTGCTGAGATTACAGGCATGAATCACCATGCTTGGCCAAAAAGTGCTGTTTTCTTTAGGTTCATCACAGTGTGGAATCTGAAACTATATCAATAAATTTTTATACTCTGTTACATGAAATTTCATTGGTTTATCTAGTTAACTTTGAATTTATCTTTTACTCAGCATGGTTTTATGACATCACACATGGGTCATTTGGGAAATATTCACTCACTGAACTATACAGATCCATGGAAAAATGACGTTTTTTTCAGAATTCTGAATTAATGTATATAAAATAATTTGGGAATAGTTTATAAAATGTTACAGAATATATAAATACTAGTCTGATCTGAGTACCAATGCAGTGCTGGACTAGTAACTTGAATAACTGGATCTCATTTTCTTCATCCAAAAATCAGGTGGTAGTTCTTGATGAGTTGATTTCAGATTTTGTTTTACTGATAATTAAGTATTGCACAAATGATTTAAATTGTGTGAGTAGTCAGTTTTACATTTTTTTGTGTGTTGGGGTTCCAAGTTAGAGTTCTTCACTGCTAGCGAACAAATGTACAGAAGATCCTTTGCTAAAGAAAGTTGACATTTATTGACCTCAGTGACATTTTTTGAATTAGGTGGTCCCAAAAGTCTCTGCCAGCTCTGGTATGGGTTACAGATTCATTTTACAATTATTTTGAGTTAGATTCTGTCAGGAATCATGCTAGAAGCCAAGGATACAAAAATTAGAAATGGCATAGGTTTTGTCTGAAGATAGTTCATGTTGTAAGAATCCTGTCTGCCTACAGAGGATTGAGTCCTGTGACAAGGAATGTCCTGTGGTGCTTGGGGAAGATGTGGCTTTTCAACTGTTACCTTACCCAGTCTTACTGGAACCCATCTCGTGAGGCCAATGAAGGAAGAGATTTATAGAATTCTTATTCTGGAATTCACAGATGGGCTTGGGCGGGGGGATCGTGAATCCCTCTTTTTACATGAGTGTGTATATATATTCATCAGATTTACAAAAGGTTTAAAAACCCCAAAATTAGAGAAACTCTTCTAACTCTGAAACTTTAGTGCTTTGATAACCCAGGTAATTGAGTCTACAGTTGTTAAAATTATCTGAAAGAGTCAAAGATCTTTTCCCAAAAGCTGCTTTAAAGCCTTGAGATACTAGTCCAGAAACAAAACAAAAGGTCTTTCCCGGTCTCTGCAGTAGTTTTAGGTATTTTCATGGAATGTTAAGATAGAAAAAGTTAGGGTGCACGACTACCATACATTAGGCGTTCTATCTTTCTGTTACATCTCTGTAACCTTTAGAAGCTACAGATTTATTTGTAGGAAAAGTTATGCAGACTAATGTCAGGCTAAGTAAAGTCTCTTCATAGCAAATTACATGAGCAACTTTAGATTTGATGTGCGTATTTTACTCTTTAAAACAGTATTTAACTAGTATATTACAATTGACTAATGTATGTTAGAATAACCTCTGCTCCGTTTATTTCTGTTCAAACTGTTTAATTTTTGGAACTTAGATTTTGCTGAATGGTTTTTTTTTTTTTTAATTCTTTTAAAGTAATTGTGTAAGTGACTGCATTGGAACTGGATGTCCAGTGTGTTACACCCCAGCCTGGATACAAGACGTGAAGATAAATAGACAGCTGGACAGCATGATTCAACTTTGTAGTAAGCTTCGAAATTTGCTACATGACAATAAGCTCTCAGGTAAGAACTATCCCTGTCTCTTAGTTAAAAACTGATGAATTCATATTCTTCACATAAAGTATATGAAACATCTGTCTGGAATTCTGAAATACATGTTTCAGATTTTAAAATCTGTAGCTTTTTTTTTTTAAGTAGCCATTGAGTCTCTCTATGTTGTCCAAACCAGACTTGAACTCCTGAACTCAAGGGATCCTCCAACCTCAGCCTCCTGGGTACATGCATGTGACACCACACCTGGTGGTTTTTTGCAGCATCATTTTGAGAAATGACAGGAACTGTAGAGATAATTAAAGTCTAACCCCCTTATTTTATAGTTGAGAAATCAAGGTCCAGAGAGGTGAAATAATCTTGCCTACAGCCACGTGTGTAGTTAGTACTAGAAGCTGGAAAAATAAAATCTGTTTCTGACTGTAAATCTAGGAACTTTTTTTTTTTTTTTTTTTTGAGACGGAGTCTCGCTGTGTTGCCCAGGCTGGAGTGCAGTGGCGCGATCTCGGCTCACTGCAAGCTCCGCCTCCCGGGTTCACGCCATTCTCCCGCCTCAGCCTCCGAGTAGCTGGGACTACAGGCGCCCGCCACCACGCCCGGCTAGTTTTTTGTATTTTTAGTAGAGACGGGGTTTCACCATGTTAGCCAGGATGGTCTCGATCTCCTGACCTCGTGATCCACCCGCCTCGGCCTCCCAAAGTGCTGGGATTACAGGCTTGAGCCACCGCGCCCGGCCAAATCTAGGAACTTTTTTGCTGCTTCACACTGCCTGCTTTTTACATTTATGATAAGTTCTGTAGAATATATATGGAATAGTGATTTTGGCCTTAGTAGCACTTAACTCACTTAAATACACTTTCCCAAGATAGAATACAACATTTTTCCATGGATCACTTTTCTAGACTGATTTAATTAGATGAGCACATTTTGAAAGAGCAGAAATCTAATATTCATTTTCTTTTATATTTAAGTGGGGGTTAACGTTTTTCAAATTGTCCGTAGACTCTGTGTATTAACTATATATCTTTCCATTGTGCTTTCTGCTAAGAACTAATTAACTATGGAAAGAAAGTAAAATGTTTTGAGTCTTCATAATTGGATATTGCAGTTGTCTTTTTATTGACCAGATCATGCTATTTTAGTGTGTGTTTGTAGAAGAACCTGTTCTTGACTGGCAGGATGCCATGGATGATTGATAATGCTCACATAAAATTGTTAGATTTCTATTTTTAAATCTTTTGTTCTTAGAATCCTGCCATGGTGTCTTAAAGAACAATTATACTTATTATACTTATATACTTTAGCTACTAAAGATGAAGTTGATTGTACAAAATAAAGAAATGTGACAAAAACTTTTGAGTGTTACCGCAAGTCCATATTTTTAAGAATTAGAACTTACATCACTCTATACCTGTGAAAATTTTCCTTCAGCTGGTTATCTGCATCATTGTATTCAACTCCATTCTTTTATAATAAAATGTGCTATAGTGCAGAAGTTTTTCTTACTTTCAGATGTAACTATACACACACGTTTTTGAAAGTTACCCTTTTTTAAAAATGATACTGTAGTTGTAAACCTTTTTAAGAACACACTGAAGAAAAATTATGTCATTAGTTCATCTGAACTCTTCTTATTCAAAGACAGTACTGACAATGTTTATTTTCTAGTTAAAAAAGATTGATGTGTGATCTAGCTTTCTCTCCCCAGATAGATACCAAGGGTCAGTGCAGGGGTTCTTAAGGGCCCCCGCACCTTTGGCAGTGTTCAGAGTGGAAGTGGGTAAGGTGCCAAGACCAGCTCGGTCAGGGAGACCCTAACCCAGTGGCGCTAGAGGAATTAAAGACACACACATAGAAGTATAGAGGTGTGAAGTGGGAAATCGGGGGTCTCACAGCCTTCAGAGCCGAGAACCCAGAACGGAGATCTTCCTACGTATTTATTAACAGCAAGCCAGTCATTAGCATTGTTTCTGTAGATATTCGATTAACTAAAAGTATCCCTTATGGGAAATGAAGGGATGGACCAAAATAAAGGGATGGGTTTGGCTAGTTATCTGCAACAGGAGCATGTCGTTAAGGCACACATCACTCATGCTGTTGTTTGTGGTTCAAGAACGCCTTTAAGCGGTTTTCTGCTCTGGGTGGGCCAGGCATTCCTTGCCTTCATTCTGGTAAACCCCCAACCTTCCCGCGTGGGCATCGTGGCCATCATGAACATGTCACAGTGCTGCAGAGATTTTGTTTATGGCCAGTTTTGGGGTCAGTTTATGGCCAGATTTTGGGGGGCCTTTTCCCAACATGTCCCCTTTATTTGATTTGCAAAGTGATAAAAGCAAGGGCAGCTCTGTCAAGCTGAGCTACTTCTCGCAGGAGTCAGGATCCACATCTGTCGACTATCCAGAGACAAACAACACAGATTAAAAGCACAATCATCATAGAAATGACAGAGCCTCCAAGTGTTTTTATCCATTTTAATGGGTTACTAGCTGCTAATCTATCTGCAGCTCCTTCAAGCCCTCCAGTTCTTGGCATGAAGGTCAGGTGTGCCTGGGATGCTTTAAATATTTGTTCTTTTAATTTTGCAATATTCAAAGACAAGTTTGTAGAGTGTCTTTCTAGTTGCTTTTTTATTCTTTCCTAAATTTTGATCTCATTATTAATAGTTTCCACAAATCCTTATGGCTCCTACAGTGGGCCATATCATTTGAGGTTGAGGTGCCACTATACCGCCATGGTTCCAGATAATAGGAACTCTTGCCGTACTTCTTTTCATTTCTACCATCTGACCCTTTTGTTCAGATCAGCGGAACATAGTGTTGCTGTGGCACGCAGACTGAGAGGTGCAATTTAAGCTAAACATCCCATTAGGGGACCAATTAATAGTGATACCATAGGAATCATTGTGCAGCTCCTCTGCCTGTTCTGCAGTGCAATCTTCCTAAACAAGTACGTTCATTTTTTCTGGTCAGGTTCAATTTTGTTTACAAATAGATTTTTGAGGGCAATACGCCTCTATTATAGGTGCAGATTTTTTATGGTAAATACTGAGATCAGAAAGCATGCGTAACTGTATCATAGAGTGATTACATCTAGGCATTATTGCCAGCCAAGATTGATAAATATGCCCAATAAGTTCTCTGTGTCAGCCCTTGTAGAAGGAATACTCACGGCAATGGTGATCTTCGCTATCATAGCTGCCATTAAATTATTCATTGTGACTAGCTGTCCTACTTTCCTTAGGTTTTCTTCTGCCATCTGTGACAGCTTCTTGATCTGTCCCCAGGTGGGTGACTTTGTTCAATGGGTGTTGCTTGTGACAGTTGGGGTCCTCCTCAGCATCATCCTCAACATGGCTGCAACCAGGGGGTCCTCGGGATGCTCCCAGAAACTCTTCCTTATCATCTGGCTCATGATAAGGTTTCAGGAGTCTTGATGATATCCAAATCGGCTGTTGATTTTGACCTCGAGAAACGCAAATATAACCTCTACCCCAAGTTATAATTTTACCTATTTCCCAATTTTTTGTTATTGGATCTCTCCACCAAATCAGTTGTTCTGCTTCTGTCTTTACAGCTGGTTTCTGTAGATGCTGTTCAGCTGCTGATAACATCTGGCCTTTGGGCAGGCTCAAAAAATTTAAAGTTAATAATGCTAAATTCAATTGTGTATGGGCTGTGCTATAATCCGTTTCTCCCCTTTTTTTGTTTTTGTTATCAGTTGTTCATCTGTATGAAATCGTAACTGAGCATTCTCAATTAACTGTGTGGACTGAACCATGTATGAAGAATCAGAAATCGCATTAATAGGCATATCAAAAACAGTCAATACCTTAATTACAGCTACAAGCTTTGCTTTTTATAGGGAGACTGGAGAACTTTTCAAGCCAGAATAAGAAGCTTTGCCATTACTAGACCTATCTATAAAACAATGAAAATGCTTAGCAGGCTGTAGGTTGTTTACCGCAGGAATTGTAAATGCAAACCGTTCACAGTCTTGCTCAGCTAAAGGGATAGTAAAGAAACAGTCTTTTAAATCTGTGACTATTAAAGGCCAGTTTTTTGGAATCATAGCAGGAGGAGGCAATCCTGCCTGTAATGCTCCCATAGGTTGTATAACTGAATTGATGACAGTTAAGTCAGTTAACATTCTCCGTTTACCTGATTTTTTCTTAATTACGAAAACTGGAGAATTCCAGGGGAAGAATGTTGGTGCTGTGTGCCCATTTTCTAATTGTTCAGTAACTAATTTCTCTAAAGCCTCCAGTTTGTCTTTACTTAGCGGCCATTGTTCTATCCAAATTGGCGTCTCTGTTAACCATTTTAAAGGTATAGGTTCTGGAGGCTTAACAATGGCCGCCATCAAAAATGATATCCTAATCTTTGGCGGGAACTTTATCTTTCCACTTGAAGTGGTTCTTTCAAACCTTGCAATTTTTTTTTCTAGTCTTATACGAGGGACATACCTCATTTCATGCATTATATGTTGACTTTGAGGGCTATATAATTGTTCTGGAATTAGAACTTGTGCTCCCCATTGTTGTAATAAATCTCTTTCCTATACATTTATCGGTACAGAAGTTATAATTGGTTGAATAGTCCTAGGTTGTCTGTCGGGCCCTTCACAATGCAAAAATATAACTACTTTGATATACTTCAGGGACTTTACCAACTCCAACTATGTTAAATTGAGCGGGTTGAATTGGCCATGTGAATGGCTAGTGCTGTAGAGAAATGATTGAAATGTCTACTTCTGTATCTACCAAACCTTTAAATTTCTTTCCTTGAATAGTTATTTCATAGGTAGGACATTTATCAGTAATTTGATTTACCCAATAAGCTGCTTTGCCTTGTTTATTTGTGCTTCCAAATCCTCCTGTTCATTTAATTTCACTTTTTCCCATTCCTACATATGGCACAATCAGGAGCTGTGCTATATGCTCTCCTCAGTCTGCTTTCCAGGGAACAGAAGTAGATATCGTAATTTGAATTTTCATATTGTAATCTGAATCAATG